ATCAATCTTGTTAATTCTTTCAAAGAACCAGCTTTTTGTTTTGTTGATGTTTTCTATGATATTTTTGTCTTCTGTGTCCCATATTTGGGCTCTTGGTGATACGGATTTTTCTGCTAAAGTTAGCGTTTTGGTGGTCTTCTCTTTCTTTCCTTGGTGATTTGTTAGGCTCTCCACTTGTGATCTTTCCATTTTCTTGATGTGTGCTCATAGAGATATAAATTCCCTTCTTAGAACCATTTTCATGGCATCCCAGAGGTTTTGTTATGATGTTTCTTCATTTTCATTTGTTTCCAGGAATCTTTTAATTTCTGCTTTGATTTCAGTGTTGACCCAGTAGTTGTTCAGCATCATGCTGTTTAGTGTCCATGTTTTTGTGGACTTTCGGGAAATTTTGTTGGTGTTGATATTTATTTTTATTACACTGTGGTCTTAGAAGGTGCATGACAGTAACTCAACGTTATGGAATTTGTTTATGCTTGATTTATGGCCAAGGATGTGATCAATCTCGGAGTATGTGCCATGTGGTGATGAGTAGAATGTGTGTTCTTTGGTTGTTGGGTGGATCTGTAAGTATCTATTAAGTTCATTTGGCTGAGTGTCAAGTTTAGTTTCTGGATCTTTTTGTTGATTTTTTGCCTCAATGATCTATCTAGGGCTGTTAGTGAGGTATTCAAGTGCCCTGCTATAATAGTGTTGGGGTCAATATCTTCTTTTAGTTTACTTAGTAGTTGCTTTATAAATACTAGTGCTCCTGTGTTGGGTGCATATATGTTTAGAATGGATATTTCTTGTTGGTGGATTGACCCTTTTATCATTATGTCGTATCCTTTTGTATCTTGTTAAATTTTTGATAGCTTAAAGGGTGTTTTGTCTGATATCAAAATCATGACTCCTGCCTTCTTTTGAGATCCATTTGTCTGGAAATTTGTTTTCCATCCTTCAACTTTGAGTCTGTGTGCATCTCTTGTGGTGAGGTAGTTTCCTGGATGCAGCAAATAATTGGGTCATGATTTCTTATCCAGTTTGTTATCCTCTATCTTTTCAGTGGTACCTTTAGTCCATTCACTTTCTGATTATTGAAATGTGATTGTTTATCTCTGTTGTGAGGTTCTTATAAAACTTTTTCTTTGCTTTTTTTCTTTTAGCTTTGGGGTTGATGTATGTGTGTATTTTGAAATTTGTTGTTGTGCTGTATTCTCTGTTGAGTCAGTGCTCTGCTGTTCTTTTGGGAATTGTGTGGTCATTCTTTTTTTTCATTCTTCTGTGCTTAATACCTTTTAAAATGTCTCCTGTAGAGCTGGTCTGGAAGCTGCATAATCTCTTAGGGATTGGATGTCTAGGAATGATCTTAATTCTCCATCACTGATGAAGCTGAGCTTGGCTGGGTCAGAAATTCTTGGTTGAAATTATTTATCTTTGAGGACTTTGAATATTGGACTTCCTTTCCTTCTTGCTTGTAGTGTTTCTGCCATTAGGTCTGCTGCTATTCTGATTGGTTTTCCCCAGTAGGTAGTCTGATCTTTCTCTCTTGCAGTCTTTAAGATTTTTTTCTTTTGTGCCTACTTTGTGTTGGAGAATTACTGTGTGTCTAGGGGTTGGTCTTCTCATTTGATGTCTTGTGGGAGTTCTCTGTATCTCTTGTGTTTGTCTGGTCACATCTCTGGTGAGATGGGGAAAGTTTTCTTGGATTATTTCCTGGAATTCTTGCTCCAATGTGTTCTCCATTTCCCTTTCTTCTTCTGCGATACTAATCAGGTGTAGGTTCGACCTCTTGATATAATCACACATCTCTTGTAGTCTTTGTTCTTTATTTCTGAGTCTTCTTTCTATGTTTTTTACAGATTGGGTTAATTCCA